ATGAAAGAAGGACAGAGGACATCATGTATAAATCATTGGTATACTGTGACAAACCATGTAACCATTTGTTTTGTTTTAGTGATTATATAATAACACAATAGTTGTTGAAGTAAAGTTTGTGTTTTCAGAACTTTCACTAAATGCTAGCTTAAAATGTAACATTCCATTGGTTTAAACCTAGCAGAAAAATTTCAAAGTTTCACTTCCCTTTAAACTGTTGCTTCAAAAACAGAAACAAACAAAAGTATATTAGAGCTGAATTTGAGTCCATTTTTTTAAAAAAGGTTTATTTCTTTATGCATAAAGACTGGGGTATAGGACAGAGATGCAGGGGGTGAGAGGATTCACCAGAGACAGAGTGGGGAGCAGAACAGACAGATTGAGGGTAGTAGCAGGAGAGACAGGAGAGGTCTGCCACACCATGTGGGTCATTTTCCTGGCCAGGATCAAACTTGAGCTGCAGTGGCTGTGGATAGCTTCATAGTGCTGCCCTTTAACCCCTTGTGCCCCCAGTGAGTTCTCTGAGTCCATTTTTATTCTTCTTGAACTTCATTGCCAGGTAAAATACGGAACATCTGTTTAAGTTTAAATTCTGATAAATATACAATGAATACCTTTTTGGTGTAAGTATATCCTAAATACCTTGTGGGATACACTTCTGGAATATAAATTTCAGTGGGCATCCTGTATTTCTGTTTGCTACATCTGGCAATCCTGCTCTGTCCTAACTTCTCCCACCTCAAGTGCTGAAAATGATTTTTACATAAAATCCTCACTTTTGAAATTATGATGCACTAAGTGCTACTGGGATTTGAAACAAATTAAATTCTGTTAGGTTATGAGCCAGATGTTTTGGTATCAAGATTTTGGGAACGGTGTGCTTTTGTGTGTGTTAGGCTTACCATGTATTCTTTATAAGACATGTAATAATAATGCTTCTCTTTGTTCAGAAAGAAACATTTTAATAATGTTTGTCTGACAGGTTCTTTATTACCTTGTATATATTGTACATGCATGCCAGTCTGATTCACAGAGAGAGAGAAGTAACATTAACATATATCTAGAATCTTGTGTTTTTTCAGTAGGCTTTCCATTGTTAGAGCAAAATATAAATAATGACTTTACCTAGGGACATGGAATTAGAGATCTTCAGGCCGGGATGAACCTTGAAATTCTTCACCTCTGTGATCCTCACTGTTTTCATCAGTGAAGTGGCGGTAGTACAATCTACGTCTTATGGCTGTGTGAGGATTCAGGGAGATGATGTACTAGAACCGCCTAATACTTGACACCAAGAAAGCTTTCAATAAATGGTGATCTATAGGGAAAAGGGAGTAGTATATGTGTTGATATAATATAGGTTCCTACTATGGACTTATAGACCTTTTAGAAAAGCTTTATAAATAAATCTTTGTACACTTTAGCTGTATCTCTATCTGTGTCTGTTGTGGAGAAAAGGAGGGTTGTCAATTTTTTTTCTGAACATAGAGCAGTAGTAGAGAGTGACCAAATGGCAATTTCTGCTGTAGAAATTGAACTTATAATTGTCCCAGGAGATAACCCCTAGAGACTCTGTCTCATATTAGTGTATGTTAGTGTTAGTGTGTGTTAGTGTTAGTGTGTGTTAGTGTTAGTATTAGTATTAGTGTCAGTATAAGTATTAGTGGTGGTGGTGGTGGTGGTCATAGTAGTAGTAGTAATGAGGCCTACCTAGTAAGAAAAGGAGAATCTCTACTTGAAGTCTTAATTTTTAAATATTATGAAAACATTTTTTTCATAGTCCTGTAGCTTGTGAAATAAGTACTTACTGATCTTTTGAAAGAATGGTTGTTGAGATTCAAATCATTTCATCTTGGTTTTGGCTTGCTATGAGATATACATTTTTTTTAAGTATACATAAATTGCTGCAGCCTCTCTGGAAATTTTATAGTACTTTATAGACAGTCTTAAAAGAGAAGAATCAGATATAGTGAATACACATTAAAGAGAGGATATTACTTTCAATATGATTTTGATTCTTTTTTTTCAAGTGACAATCTCTTTAAAATGAACTGCATTTGCTTCCGTTTTATTGCTATGGATACATCACACATTTGTTGGGGGGGAATGTCAAGGAAGGTATTCCCAGATCTGGTGAAGTCTGTACTGTTCATCTTCTCTGGGGTTTGTACAATTTAAAGACACAACCTAGTATTAATTAGATTTCCATGCTCTGAATTTTGAGTGCCTGATATCACTGTTTAAATATTTGATGTTTAATCATTTTAATATATTTTAGAATATTCTGTGGTGTATGTGTGTGTTTGTTGTTTTACAGTAATTTTGCACTAGATTTTGTTCAGGACTGTTACCAAGCTGATGATTAAAATGGCTTGCAAAGCTTTGCTTTCATTAGGAGAATTAAAAAAATGATTTTGGGGCAAAAGTGAATTAAGATTTGAAACAAAATGGCAGTCTGAATAAAACCTGGGCTCAGGTTTTCATTAAACCATTTTTATTAGCAAATATGTTAGTCCTGTGTTGCATCGGTAGTGACTCAGAGAATATGTACGATTTGATTGATCAAGCAAGTATATGTCTGTTTTATGAAACTCTAGTATTAACAATGTTAATGTGGATAGCGAAGATCACTATGGGTTTTTAAAAATGCAATCAAGTTATTGTATTTTAGCTGTACTTCAATTTCTAATTTGATTTAAAGTAAACAGTTTGGGTCTACAATCTGGCTAAAACACCAGGTAATAAGTTAGTAATTAGTTTGTAGTGGGATGACTTGGAGCATCTTTAATTTAATGCTTTAACTGAAAGTCAAATAGCCGTCAAGAAATGACAGTTACTGTTAGGCTCTTACAGTGTATACCTTTTTTGGAATGTAAAAAAGATGCTTATTAAGCAAAAGTTACCAGTTGAGACTGATATATTTTGGGAAAATGTAAAAGATGTTAAAATGTCCTTAGCAAAAATAACAAATCAGGGCAACTCTTATCACTGAACCTAATGTAACTTTTTTATGTAATGAGTTTACATGTAACTCTCTTTGGAAATCAAAAACAAAGATTTCGGATATGTTCCCAAGATATATTGCTGATATTTCTTTTTTCAAAGATTTATTTACTTGCACATACAGAACTGGGGTACAGGCCAGAGGCTCAGGGACGGCAAGAGGCTTCACCAGAGACAGAGTGGGGAGCAGAACAGGCAGACTGACCAAGTACACTGTTGAGGGGAGCAGTGAGCGGGTCAGGAGAGGTCTGCCAGCCATGTGGTCACCTCCAGGGCAGGCGGGAATTGAACTTCATGCGGAAGTGGCTTTAGCTTCTCAGTGCTGTGCTTTAACCCACTGCGCCACCAGGGAGAGCCTGCTGATATTTCTTTAAGACAGATCTGGAGTTTTTATTCCCTCTTGAAAAAATGTCTCCTGGCTTCTTAGACGAATTTGTGTGGGAGTAACAAACAGGGCAGGAGGTTTCAATATTTTTTTGTAGTTCATTGTCTTTTACTTCCTTGACAAGCATGTTGTAAAGATTAATTTTAGAAATGAAAGGTGCTGCTGTAATGTAATTTTATTTGAAAACCACAGTACATAAAACACAGCTTGTTTTCAAGGGGTTCTTCATGTGTGTGAGTGTGTGTGGATAGAGCTTTCTGAGTTTAGGGAATATTTATATATAAAGAATACAGGCCTGTATTCTCACTGTTTCTTAATTAAGTTCCACATTTTAGAGAATTAAAATATGTAATATGGTAGAATTTATTTACTCAAAAAAACTAATGCTGTTTGTGTCAGGGATATTTCATTGCATTTCCCTGTAAGAGAACAAATGTAGCTTGGGAAAGAGTCATGATTAATGGTATACTGAGATAATATATGCCTGCATAAGTCATTAGATGGTGTGTTGGGGAATATTTTGGGAATGCTATAGATAGGCAGTTGGAGGTTTTTCGGTACATGATTTTTTTTTTAAGATTTATTTTTATTTATTTATGCACATAAAAACTGGGGTGTAGGCCAGAGGTTGGTGGGTAAGAGGATTTACCAGAGACAGAGTAGGGAGCAGAACAGGCAGATTTACTGAAATACACTGCTGAGGGGAGCAGTGGGCAAGACAGGAGAGATCTGCTTGCTTCATGAGCTCCTGCAGCAGTGGCTGGTGATAGCTTGATAGTGCTGAGAATTTAACCCCTGAATCACCAGGAAGCCTAAGTATATAAATTTTAAATCAATCTGTTATTCAAATCATTTAACAATATGGAAGAAGGAGGAACAATGCTAGATTTTTATATACAGAAAAAAATGTCAGCCTTTTAACATTCCATTTTTGGCTAGCTAACAGCTTGTGGGTAAGTGCTGGGTTATTATTACTTGGGTCCCTCAGGATATGAAAGTATTGGGCAGAAAATAAATGTATAGGGAAATGGCAGAGCGTTCTAGAGAGTAAAGTATTTAGTTGAAAAAACAGCAAAAGGAACAAATTATCAATAATTTGAGAAAGAGGTCTTGGAAATCAGGTTACATGTCATTGAAAGCAATTGCAAATGTGGAATATTTGCTTGTACTATACTAAGTTCCAAAAAGGATTAGAGACAAATAGATGGATTATTTATCTTGGTGATGTTTTAGATCATGTGGGTGGGAGGGGGAAGAGGAGAACCCTTGGAAAGTTTTGTCATATCTTGAGCCGTGGGTTTGCTGCTATCTTCCAGGGGGAGCTTCCTTCATCCCCTGGTTGAATAATGTATACTTGGGCAGCTCAGTGGCAGACTGCCTCATCTTTTCAATTCCTGTTTCTAATGCTTATGTCGAAAAGTCAGTTCAGTAATGTAAATTACATTGTAGCCTAGTGAAAAAGTATAGTCTCAGTTGTAGACTGTACATGTCAACATTTAAACCTGTGTTAGTAGGTTTTAATATTGGTGTTTCTATAAGTATTATGAAATATTTTACGTTCAGGCTCTAATCTAGACTAAAACTTTTACTACTTTTCTTTTTTTTTTTTTAGGACAGCCAGTAGAGGGGACTTCATGTTTTCTGCAGATCGTTTGGTAGGTGGAGGCTTTCCATTTCCATTTCACTGTTTAATGATATAATCATAGTAGGCCAAAAAACTGTTTTGTTCTATAGCATTCCACATGGTGGGGTTGGGCTAGGGGAGGAAAGATTGACTAAGGATCCATCCTCTTTCTAGGCTTTTGAAGTGTTGTTACTGCTGTTGTATTAAAGCTCTGTTTCAGTCCCTGTCACCTCAAGCCATTTCCCCATGAACTCATCCTGCTTAATTCTGAGCATCCATTACCTCAAATGGATCTTGGTAACCTAATTCTGGGCAACCCTTAAATGCCTGATCATAGGACAGTGATGTAAAGGCCATTAAAGAAAGCCAAAAATGTAGTAGCAGTATCCACTTAGTACACAAAAATTAATACCTCTTGAAGTTTACATGTGTAGGAGGAGGTGCAATTACTTTGCCTCTTTTCTGTCCAACCCTCATGTGTAAAATACAGAACTGAATGGCTTATACTGTCCTCAGGGACTTCTGATAAGGGTTGACCAATCCCAGCTCTATTTACCTAGTATAATCCCAGAAGGATAGAGGCCAGGTTGGGCTGTCACTGTGTTTCCTTCTTGTGTTTGTATCTACCTGTGCTCAGTGTTGGGAATGAGGTTGACATGGTTTCATGTTGCGCAGTAGTTATGGGTGCTGCTCCATTCCTGAGACATATACTGAATGCAAGTGAGTCAGGCACTGTGCTAGAAGAAATAGCAGTAAGGACTAGAGACATGATCCCAGTTGTCAGAAAAGGAAATGGCTTATTAACCTCCCAGCTATCATCAGGTAGTTGAAGCTAGATTACTAAAGGGAATCTGGGAGTGGGGTACAAAAAGGCATGACATTTTCACTTAGATATTCCCTGGAGGAAATCTTTATTCCAAAAGTGTATAGACAACTCTTATTCTTTCAGTTTTAAATATTCTTGATTTAGTGGCCACTTCTGTTTACAAGTATTTAAGTATCCAAGGGTACTAATAACATTGGATTGCACCAAGGCAAATGTAGTTAAAGTTAGATCTTTATCCTGTTATGAAAGCAAAGAACAGGATCAACAAATGGACCCTTTGTCATTGGCCACTGTGGAGAAAACAGAGGTGTTAGTGTTCACTGGTAGAAAATGATTCTTATTTTCTTTTGTCTTGCTTGTTTCCTTTTTTGTAGCAAGTAAAAATTGCATTCATAATTATTGCAGAATGCTTGCTTGAAAGAGTAGGTGTTATATCTTAAGTCAAATGAGAGAATAAGGACCCATGGCTTAACTCAGCTGAGGAGATAGTTACTTCACTTTTTGTTCTCTGCAGTTACATTGAAGGTCCTGTTATTAGGTGAGGAGTAGAGATCCAGGGTCTGTTGTGATAGGGACTCAAGCTGTTTAGGTTTCTAGCCTTGAGGATTTCTAGTACACTGTCTCCTCTGACTAAAGAGTCCCATTAGCCCACAGGGATTACAACCGAGATGATAAAATGCACAAAATGAAGAATTATGTGAAATAAATAAATATATTTAAATTTTAAAAAGTGTCTCATTAAAGTTGACATTAATTCTGTCCTGAATTTGTCAGGGTTGGCTTCCCTGGCCAACCCTTCAAGTTTGAGTTCTTTAAGTTTTAGTCTCCCCCTGTTGGATTCTGTGTTCTATAAGGCTTGGGTACAAAAATTTCCATCCCGGGGTTATTGGAGATGGAGTGAGAGGTATGATTCTTTAGAGGAGCATTACTAGCTGGGGGATGTAAGTTTTCAAAGAAAAGGATCCTCTTCTTCCCTTGCAATTCGTTCACAAGGAACAGTAACCACCATAGAGAGCAGTGGCTAAAGGTGAGTGTGCTCACAGACACACGCTGTTCTTGAGGTTCCTGATCTGCCTGATACTGCAGGCTTACAAAGCACTGGCCCAGTTAGCTTTGCTCTTTTTCCTGGCAGCAGGGTGATGTGTTGTGATAACTGAGATGGGGGCCTGATGTTTTCTCCCTGCTGTTCCTGGTTTCAACCAATAATGAAATATTGATTGAAGAAAGTGTGCAGTACAGACTTAGCACTACTTTTATTGTATTAGGCTCTGGAGACTCACCGGTATACCCTATCTGGGTTTTGGAGGCTGTTTCTTGTAATTCTGATAGATTCTTCCCACCGTACCATACATTTAGGATTGTTAGAAGCCTTTTCCTCATCTAGGAAATCCCGATGTATTCTCTTGGATAAAATTCCAAGCTCAGAAAATTAATTCAACCAAATTCATTTATTTATGTATTTTCTTATCGAAAGTTCCCAGCTTTATTTACTTTATGGAAAATCTTTATTAAGTAGAATCCAAATAATTTTAGAAGTGCCAAACATGTCAGAGAAGTTCTCAGTGGGCACTGTTTGCATAGTAACCAGAAGTCTATCCCAAAGGTGTCTGCCATGACTCTCTTTACTCGCTGGAGTTTTGCATCTGACATATATAGCCTAGATTAACTGAATGAGAATTAGAAAGCATACTTGAACTGAGCTTTTTTGGCAGCATTCATATGCCTAACCGAGTTTGGATAACTCGCAGCAAGCAGCTGGCACTTGGATCTCAGTCTAACACATGATAGGGTCCAACTTCCTACGTCCCTGGTATACAACTGACGTGTTGCTGATGTTCTTATCCTGAGATTAAGCTAACAGAATTTTTTTTTTTTGCAAATTTTCAATTTATTCTTCCTTTGACTCTTTAGATCAGACTGGTTGTGGAAGAGGGATTGAATCAGCTGCCATATAAAGAATGCACGGTGACCACTCCAACAGGTAACCAGGGCTATTGCTACTCCTATGTTCTCATAAAAAATCTGAGATAGAATTGGGAGGAGAGGGAATGTCTGAGTAAATCAGTATACAAATTGAGGAGTCTAGGTGGAACTAGTCTTTTAAATGACTTGGACTCAGAGACATTTACTAAAGTTTTTTATGTGGATGATTTTTTTTTAATGGCTTGCTTGTGGATTCAAGTTAAAAGTTAATAAATATTCTTCAGCATGCAGGTGTTGCCTTTGATGACAGCCCATTGGGACCAGAGTTAAGAATTGCTGGCAGTTTATCTTCACCAGTGTGGGGAAGCTGCTGGTGTTAACAAATGGGTGAGGCTGGTTTGGCATTGAAACTCCAGGTAAAAGGATGAGAAGTAAGAAAAAAAAGTAAAAAACGGTGAGAATTGGAGAAGATGCTTTGTTCTACTTTCTAAGAGAAAGCAGACAAAGGTCCCTGTTTCAGGGATTTGAAATTATGATTTGGTTCTTTAGTAAATAATGGAAGCTGTTCTACTCAGAGGTTGACCATATGAAAATTGGGGGCTGAGCTTACTGCATCATAATTGACACAAATTCAGGATGAGAACAAGAGTTGAACTTGTCTTGGCATCTACTCCAGCCTCTTTCTCTTCTGCTTTTTAAGGCAGAATGGAGAATCATAAAAAGGGACAGAATGAGGCATCTCTCTGCTGTGGTTCACAGTGGGGTCTCAGTTTGAATTGGTGGCGTTTATAGCATTCTTGGAGTGCAACGAATTCAAATTGAATCCAATTTGAGGAACGTGTACATGAATATCATGCTATCATAAGTCCTGTTCCCTCTTGATGAAGTCCACCTCTCTCAATTATCCCCACAGGTTTCTTATGAAGAAGTAACTGAAAAATCATGACTCTTCTCATTACTTTCACAGGGAACCTAAGATGTTTTACAGTGTGTCTGGACAAGGGTTGCTCTGTACCCATCTGCTTTAAACCATAGACACTTTATAAAATAAGTAGGTTGCTTCAATGATGGAAGATAAATTTTTGGTTTTATTCTCCAACAGGGTACAAATATGAAGGAGTGAAATTTGAGAAGGGAAATTGTGGGGTCAGCATAATGAGAAGCGGTAGGTCTGCCTATGTGAGTTTTGTCTCTTTGCATGCATAAAAACAGCTGCTGCTTTCCAGGAGGGAGGTGGGCGTGTCTGTCATAACTGCAGCGTGCCTTAGTGGAAATCTTGCTGCCTGCATTGTATATCCTTATGGTACCTTGGAGTCATGGCCTGTGTGTTGCTGAGTTTGGCTAATTTTAACTGCAGAGCATCATTTCTTATGACCTGCCCTCATGGGCAAGCCAGCTTTCAAAGAGTTTCAGGGGAGGGTGTGAGCAGGGAAGGATGCATTGATGTTATCTTAGTGAGAACAGGCCAACTTAAAGAATGACAAAATATGGCACACAATCAGGTCTGCAGAACTTTGAGTACCAGGCTATAAAAAAAAAAAAAAAAGGTGTGCTTTTTAGATTTCTTTTGTAGGGAAGGGATAGTCCTACCCTGTCAGGAACTAGACTAAGTTAACTGGTTTTATATTTTTAGTTTCATATTTGATGAGTATTTGGCAAAAGCATTTACCTGCCAATAACTCTAGATATTTGCAGTTGCTGGTCTTATAAATGTGTTTGAGTTGAAATGCTTCCCCTTCTAAACTAAATTATGTACAGCAAAACCACCTGCTATGATTAAAATGTATACCTTTATACAGAGATTAATTGGCTAATTATTTTTTGTACCAGGTCCAAAGTATGGTGTAAGCCCCACTTGCTTGTTCTGGAAACATGGAATTTTTTTTTAAATATTTGCTTAGTTTATTTCATAGATGTAATACTGGTTTACAACATTGTATATAATTTAGGGGACTAATTCCACACCTCCTGAGATATATATACTGGATTATTTACTTTTATTTATTTTTTTCTTAGATTTTTTAAGTTATGCATATAAGAGCTGGAGTGTAGGCCAGAGATGTTGTGGGCAGGGGGAGAGGATTCACCAGAGACATATTGGGGAGCAAAACAGGTAGATTGAATGAAATCTATGCTGAGCGGAGCAGCGGACGAGACAGGAGAGGTCTGCTGTGCCATGTGGGTCCCCTTCCTGGCCAGGGATTGAACTCGTGCTACAATGGCTGTGGATAGCTTCATAGTGCTTCGTCTTAACCCCTTGCAGCACCAGGGAGGGCCCTGGATTATTTATTTTGAAAGAATACATTAACATTCCCCATTGGCTGTGAGGTTCTGTTTGTGAACATTAAATACCTCAAGTTAAATAGAAGCTTTAAGTTTCTTATTTTGTAGACGGCTACTCTTAAGCAATGATAGGACTCCCAGGACAATATTGTTTCACTCTCACTCCCTGCACCTCTGACCTGTACCCCAGTTCTTATATGCATAAATAAATAAATTGTCTTACAAAGTGACAGAGACGGGCCCTCCCTGGTGGCGCAGTGGGTTAAAGCACTGCACTAAGAAGCTTAAGCCACTTCCACATGAGTTCGATCCCCGCCTGCCCCGGAGGTGACCACATGGCATGGCAGACCTCTCCTGACCCGCCCGCTGCTCCCCTCAGCAGTGTACTTCGTTGATCTGCCTGTTCTGCTCCGCACTCTGTCTCTGGTGAATCCTCTCACCCTCCGCATCTCTGGCCTGTACCCCAGCTCTGTATGAATAAAAAAATAAATCTTAAAAAAAAAAGTGACAGAGACAGTAGAGGTGACTTTTTAAGACACAGTTGCTTCTTTCAGTACATCTCCTGCTTCCATGGCAGCAGCTTGGTCTTTGCTCCCCGATGACTTAGGCTGATGTATAGACAAGATACGAAGGTGCTTATCCTTCAAAACTACTGGCTGCTTTTTATATACATTAGAAAGAAGTCTTTATACTAGTGACACAAAGTTTCCTCTTAACATAAGTGAATGCAGTCAATTTAAAGAGAAATATTAAGTACTGGTAAAATACCAACTTGCCACTGATGTTACCTAAAATCTTGATGGTATGAAAATGATCGACTTTTCACAAATATTTACATACCAGAACTTAGACTCAAAAAAAGCTCCATGTCCAGAAATCGGAGTGATAGTGTTCATTGTGTTTTTCTGGGAGAGAGACACAATATGGGCTCCCTTTATCCTGTTTGCCAGCAAGGCCTCTGTCGTTAAAGTCACTGTGGGGCTGTGTGCTGTCATCCAATGTGGCCTTGACCTATAAGAAATCCTTTGATTTATATCACCCATCATTTCATAAATCTTATATTCTTTCTGATGAAAATAACAAGTTTATATGGTTTAAAGAGTTCTTTAAAATAATAGGAGTAAATATTCCTGATGTTGGAAAAGCTCAGGGAGCACATTAACAAATCTGTTTCTTATAATCATGGATGCATGACAAGCAGGCAGTAAAACCAGCTTATCTTACTTTTATTGACCAGCCTTTACTTGGGTTCATTGACGTGTACTGGGTATAAAATATGGGTGTATGAGAAGTAAAAGCTGTTATCTTAAGAAAAGTTGCTTCTGTCTTGACAATGTTCTTTTTGTGTTAACAGTCACAAGCTCTGGTTTGGCCTATTCTTTGACTTTCATTCTATTCCCCTCTAACATTTCTCCCCTTTTTTATTTCCTTCAAGGTGAGGCAATGGAACAAGGTTTACGAGACTGCTGTCGATCCATACGAATTGGAAAGATCCTGATTCAGAGTGATGAGGAGACACAAAGAGCCAAAGTATATTATGCCAAGTTCCCTCCAGATATTTACAGAAGAAAAGTTCTTCTGATGTATCCAATTCTTAGTGAGTGACCTGAGTTTCATTTGTAACCTTTGGTTAAGGTTTAAATTCAACTTGGTGCCTGCCTTTTATAAATGGTTTGCCTGTTTCTAAACTTTTTTTTCCAGTTGGATTTGTAATTGCTCTGGGAAGTTCATTAGGAATCTTTATTGTGTGAATAGGGAATATACATGAATCAAACTATTACCTCCAAAGAGGTACACATTGAAACGAAAGCTCTAAAGAGACAAAATACATAGAACATAGAGAATGTGTTAAAGTACATCCCTTCTTTATAGCAATGATTTTCCCAAGTATGTATCTTCTTTGGAGGTAACATTTTCCCCCCTCCTGTGTTACTCTGTTTTCTAAGCTTACTTAGATGATATTTAGCATGGTCTTTCAGGATTGGGGGTAGCGGGTGAGTGTTAAATGTGATATCTCAGATAATGAATAAGACTTGTGCACTTACAAGCTGAAAAGTCTATGTGTCGTTTCCATTACTGAAAATAGCATAACTGATAAAGAACATCACCTACAAATGAGGCTTTGCCCAGTGGTGTCTTATGCCAGATTATTAAACTGCCCTTACTTCAAAGAAATGTCGAAGACATTTTGAGATAAGTGTTAACATAATATATTTGGTTGTCATTTGATTTCAGGTACAGGAAATACTGTAATTGAAGCTGTAAAGGTTCTTATAGAACACGGAGTTCAACCCAGTGTTATCATTCTACTTAGTCTGTTCTCCACTCCTCATGGTGAGTTTAGCATGAGGCAGTAACTGGGGCTCCATATGGTCTTGGGATGGGAAAATGTATACTGTCCAATCTCGCCCCATGAGGAAAGTTTAATTGCTTCCACATTAAATATAAAACTTATCTTGGTAATTATAACTTCCATTTGTCATTTCTAAGCTTAATGATGTTTTATCCCATTCTAATATTGCTCACATTCAAAGGGAAAAGCATTAACTAACCCCATTGAAGGGGATTGCAACTATTTTCCCAGTGATCCTATTTGGGTAGAGCCACAAGTGACTGAAAGGTCACTGTTTCTCCTGTCTCCCTAATTGAGCCAGAGAGCTGTTTCCAAATAGGGGAGAAGCTAGACAGATGCACAATACTATTTTTATTTTAAAATATATATACAGTATAAATCATGATTATCTTAGGATGGTGGGATTCTAAGTGGTTTTTCCTTTTAAGCTGTTTCAATATTTTTTTAATGTTCTGCAATTAATTTGCATTTATTTTATCATTGAAAGGAAGATAAATATGTGGCTTCTATTTGGGGTATTTCCTCATTTCCAGAGTTGCCAAGTCCCCATCAATCCTGGAGCTACTACAGGGTATCTAGTTGGCAAGGCTGTTTTCAGTAGGCCATTTTATAGGAATTGTGACCTGTTTCTTTATTTTTTCAAGATTTGTTTTTATTTATTTGCATACAAAAATGGGGTTATAGGCCAGATGTGTGAGGGAATTCACTAGAGACAGAGTGGGGAGCAGAACGGTATTGCTACTGTTGAGGGGATTAGTGGGCGAGACAGGGGAGGTTTGCTGAACCATATGTGGGTCACCTCCCTGGCCGAGGATCAAACTCAGGCTTCAGTGGCTGGTGATAGTTTGATAGTGCTGAGACTTTAACCCCTGCACCACCAGGGAGACCCCTGGCCTGTTTGGTTAATTTGCTGTTTCATAATAAAAAAATTACCTGTATTTCAAATGTTGATGCTGACAGAGGTTGATTTGCTTGGTTATCCATTCATATGTAACAGAGGTGACAATTAAGACATTGTTATTTGTTTGTAAGAACTTATTAGTGAGTGAGTCGGGGCATAGTCTGATTACTATCATAGCTTTTCAGATCAAATATTATATTAACAAAGATATTAACCAAATCAGACTAGGTGTCCAAAGGTTATTTCTCTCTGTCCTCTTTCTATGTTAGACCTAGTAACTATTAACTTCTGAATTCCAACTAATGTTACCAAAGTAACCTGCCATAACTGCAATTTTCTTTTTTTGAAGGTGCCAAATCGATAATTCAAGAGTTTCCAGAGATCACGATTTTAACTACTGAAGTTCATCCTGTTGCACCTACACATTTTGGACAGAAGTACTTTGGAACAGACTAAGTGATTGAGGGAAAATTAATTTTCTTGTGTAATAATACACTTACATTTTAAGTTTCTACCTGTTTTATGAATTTGCTTGAGATATCAGAGAAAATTGTTATGCTTTGTAATTTTTGGAAGTGGGTATAGTAAAAAGGAAATACTTGAGGTTTATTTATTTTATTTGGTTTTCTTGACTGCTGCACCAAATTCAGTAACAAATCACACACACCTCTTAGAAAAGATTTTAATAATGTGCTTATGTAAATTGTTGAACCTTCAGTATATTGAAATTGTTTTCTAATTTTATGAACCTCTGAGTTTGATGGTTGCTTGCCAATAAAACCCAAACGGGAGGTGGTTCTTCGGTCCACTATAGTTTGCACCTTGTTTCGTTTGCTTTTAGTTCCAGGAGTGTTCATGTATGTGGCTGTTATCATCTTCCTCTATTCTTTACTTGCTGATACAGTACATGCTGGTAACTTGGAAAGGATAAAAAGAATGCTTCCTGGAATTTTGCATCTCCATTAATATCCTTGCTCAATTGGCAGACCCAGGATACAAGGTTAACTCATCAGTTGGGTCATGATATTCTTCATGATACATTTCACATACCGTGCCATTGTTGGTCTGTGCTTTGCCAAGTATAACATAGTGAAGGTGGTGGGCAGGATATGGGCTATGAAAACTGTAGCAGAAATTAACTGGACTGAAGCAGGGATCCTGGGACACAGACGAGGGAGGGCTAAGTACTGTTAATGCCATTAGTGCCCTAGGAAATGATTAGTGGTGGGTCTCTGAGGTGTGGGGGAAAGGATGGTTTCTTGCTGGGTATTATGGCCAATAGGTAAATTATAATGTCTCATTTTTAGTTTGGGGTTTTCTATTAGAAGCCTTTGACTTGAAGACCAGTTATGTTGCATGTTTGTCAACTGTAGATTATTAAAATGGGGAAAATACCATGATTTAAAAAAATTCCTAGGGTTTATATGTTTATCTATGGGCATCTGAAAGGAAGGGAAACTCATTTTAGAAACCGGTGTTTGTGTTCTGAAACTTGCTTGTAAAACCCTGATCTCATTTTACATTGATATTAAAACATTTTAACAGTGGTTGCTGACTGATTACTTAATTAAATATACTCTTATAGGCCATTATTCAACTGTCATGGGCCTCTGTTAAAAAAACACAGAGAACAGACGGCAGTAACTTAGACCCACCCAGAGCTGAGCAAGTCAACAAATCCTGGGGGAGAGGAATGATTCTAGAAGGGATTGCATCTTCCCTTGGAGCCTAGTAATACTAGACAGACCTCATATTTCCCCCTTTGTCTTAAAAACCCATATAATAAAACTGAAACTGATAGATTTCCTATATTGCAATTATTTCATGGTAAACTGTATATACGTTCTCACTGAACTTATCACCTATACCAGTCATTTAAATATTTCTATGCAGTGTGGATTTTGTTTATTCTTAATTAGCAGAAGCTATAACTGAAGCCCATTAAAGCCTAATTATTGCCCTGTCCCAGGAAAGAGGTGAACCAGCAAATTGAGATATGGAATAGATTTACTTTAGATCGATGCATTTAATTCATTGAAAACATGAATTAATTGGGCCACTAAAGGAGTCAGTGCGTCTAAGCTAGTGCTTATGCAAGAGCTTCAATGGTTGAGGTGGCTTTCCAGAGCATCAGGTGAATTCATATTCTAGTGTAGGTATAAAACCATTACTTCAAGCAAATTATATTTTTATCATCAGCTATCTAGATTTAATGTATTTCTATTCCTTTTCATCACTGCATATGATTGGGAGTTGACTATGTTTCTTTCCCACATGAATGAAATTCCTACTGGAAATAGTTTAAACTCTTCTGGTGGGTCATATTCCCCGCCAGTGTTGTTTAAGAAATATTATAACTATGTCACCTTAGTCTTGAATCTGGTTAGCAAATGAGGCTTTATTTCCTGAGTGAATCACTGCAGGACGCTTGGGGAAAATTTCTAAATGATGCAAAATTAACAGACTATTAAAAAATAATGTTGTTTTTAATAATGTGAACTGCAGAGGAATAAAAACTGTGCAGATCCTGATTGAAGAAAGGAAGTCTAATACAATAGAAATGACATGCAAGAGTTTACAACAATGTTTCTCAAAAGTTGAATGTGCCTCAGAATCATGGAGGGCCACAGATAACTGGACTTCACCTTTAGAGTTTCTGAGCCCGTAGTCTAGAGTAAGGGCTAAAGGCTGGCATTCCTAATTCCCAGGTGTTGCTAATGTTGCTGGTCTGGTGGCCACTTTTGATTTCAGAAATTTCATTTATACTAGAAGCAATTAATGACATAAATTTTCCTATAAGTACTGTTTTAGGTGTACCACCAATTTTGACATGTTCTGTTTTTATTTTCATTTAGATCAAAATACTCGTTTTCCTTTTTATTTCTTCCTAGTTATTAAGAAGGGTATCATTTACTTTCCAAATGTTTATAGGAATTTTTAGACTTTTTTGGGAACTGATTCATATTTTAATTCAGAGAATATGCTTCATATGGGCTAATTCTTCTACATTTATTAAGATTAAAAAGTATTTTTGTATTTATATCTTTTACATCATTGTATATTCCCCATAAAATTCCCACCACCTGTTCAGATTTATTTAATGGCCTGGAACATAGTCTCCCGTGGACAATCTTGCATGTGTGCATGAAAAGTATGTGTCTCCTATTGTTGTTTGGATGGGTGTTTTATAAACGTCAAGGTAGGTTAAGTTGGCTCATTGTGTTCAAGTCTTTTCCTTTATAGATTTTCTGCCTGTCCTATCAATTATTGAGAGAAGGGTATTGAAATCTCTGTCTAAAATTTTGGATTTGCTTTTTTCCTTTCTATTAGTTTTTGCTTCATGTATTTTGAAGCTGTTGTTATATAAACTTTTTGGATTGTTATGGCCCTCTTGGTTGATTAACCATTTATCATTATGAAAGTTTCCTTTTATCCCTAGTAATATCCTTTGTTCTGAAAACTACTTTAGTAGTTTAGTAGTACTCTGTGTAGTACTTTAGTAGTTTAGTAGTACTTTGTAGTTTACTGGTGATTCTATTAGGACCTAAATTGCCCAACTTTAATTTATCACAGTATATTTCATGTGTAATATAAGGAGAAAACCCACCAGAGAGAGAGTGGGGAGCAGAGCCAGATAGACTGAAACACATGACTCAGGGGAGCAGCGGGTAAGACAGAAGAGGTGTGCTGTGCCATGTGGGTCATCTCCCCTGAACAGTCAGTGGTCTGCCTGCTGCAGTGGTTAGATGCTGCTTGATAGAGAGCTGTTTTCAACCCCTGCATCACCAGAGAGGCCCCTTCAACAGTTATCTTTTTTTTTTTTAAGAATTTTTAAAGATTTTTTTTATTTATGCACACAGAGCTGGGGTACAGGCCAGAGGTGCAGGGACAGTGAGAGGACTCACCAGAGACAGAATGGGGAACAGTACAGGCAGATCAATGAAGTACACTGATGAGGAGAGCAGTGGGCAGGTCAGGAGAGGTCTGCTGCGCCATGTGGGTCACCTCCGGGGCGGGGATCGAACTCATGCTAAAGTGGCTTTAGCTTCTTAGTGCTGTGCTTTAACCCACTGTGCCACCAGGGAGGGCCCTCAGCAATTATCTTTTAAAGAGATGTTAAAAGAAATAAGGGAAAAGGTCATTTTTTTTTTATCCGTTTTGGTGTTTTGTAATTCTTTGTGTATTCATGGTTCTCCATCAGATCCATCAGATGGATTTCCATCTTCCACCCAAAGGATTTTCTTTATCATTTCTTATAGGGCAAGTCTCCTAGTAGTTGCTTCTTTCAGCTTTCATCTATATGGTGAAGTCTATTTCAGCTTCACTTTTGAAAGACATTTCTCTGGTGTAGAATTCTAAGTTGGCAACATTTTTTTTTCTTGCAGTACTGTAAAGATGTTTCTTTACTATCTTGCATGTTTTTGATAAGTAGGCTGTTATTCTTCCATTTACATGTAATATAAAATATTGTAATAGGATTTGCTTTCTGTTTGTTATATATCTAATTTATTCCTATATCCCTCTATTACTGCTGTCTCTTATACTCACTAGGTATTTTCTGGGTATGACAGGGATCCCTAAGACTCCTAGAATTCAATAGGACTCATTAATCATTATATTCATGATTCTAATATATAACAACAAAAGAATAGAAAGCAAAATCAGTAAAGGGTATAGTTGCTTGGGGCACATCTGGAGGAAACCAGACATAACCTTTCCAGAGTTCTCATCCATGGAGCTTCCCAGGATGTATTTATTCCTCCTATATATTGTGGCACCTTGTGTGAAGGGAAGTCAACCAAGGAAGTTCACTTGAACTTAAGATTCCAGAAATTTTATTGGGATCTGGTCACATAAATACACAGTGCCTGCATGATTGATCACAGTTGCCAAAACAGACCATTTTAAGGAAAAGTGCTCACCATAAAACACTTCATTTACACAGATTTTCTGGATTCAAATCTATCTGGACATAAAAGTTGCAAGTGTGTAAAACACTTTTGTCAGTTTAAACATTCCAAGAGTTCAATTTCCAGTATCTGGTCAAGGGTCATTCTTGAAAAGAGATTTTCCTGGGAATGTACAAGGTGTGGGCAAATGACTTACTAAGTCAACTCTTTCCTGTACAATTTACTTTTCTGGTCTTTGGCCCAGACTCTGTCAGAGGAAAATGATTGTATTTTGCTGAGCATCTACATCTAATACAGATTTATATAACAGATCTAGCAGTATCAACACGTATATGCCAAGCATTTGGAGCAGCTAGTGCAGGATAGGGATAGACATGAAAAGCAATTAATACATCACATATACAGCTCCATATTTTTGTACCAGTTTGTCCTTGATCTGTGCTATTTGTATTTTATGATAAACTTGTATAGAGCTATTTAACACTCAGTAGAGTGTTAAATGTTAACTAGATCTAGTTCTTAAAGCTAACCATTTCCCACTGATATCACATTCTGAAGAGGCTTTAATTCAGTTTCCCTGTATATGTAATTATCAACATCTACATTACAATATTTATTTACATAAGGTAATTTTATCTTACCAGCAAAGCCAATATGATCTGATATCATGTTATGGTATGATTATCATACAGTAGCCCCCAACTTTATGGTACTGATTCATTTTACAGACATGGTATTATGGTGAAAATATAATGTGAACCCAAGAAATATATTGATATTGCATAATTATTTCCAAGACAGCATAATTTGGAAAATTGTACACATAAGTAAGCTTATGTAAGACTGATTTATACAATATAACCAGCATTTAGGTTTTATTGACATTGAAAGATGAAATTTTTAAAAAGGAACTAAATTGGAAAAGGTTATCTCTAAATCAATCAAGTTTGCTAATGGAGTAGGTGGGAAAAGTCAAATTCTCATACCAATTCACTGCTTAACAACATTTTGGTTTTTTTTACAATTTTTATAATTTATTAACTGAAGCTTTCATTTTAATGTGCTCTTTATATTTTTACACAATTCAATAGCAACCACTTTTATTATAGGATACACAAGGGCTAGAAAATTAAACATTTTTTGAAGATTTATTTATTTATGCTTGCGGAACTGGGGTACAGGTCAGAGGTACGAGGGGTGAGAGGATGCACCAGAGACAGAGTGGGGAGCAGAACAGGCAGATCATGAAGTACACTGCTGAGGGGAGCAGCAGGTGGGTCAGGAGAGGTCTGTTGCGCCATGTGGGTCACCCGGAGGCCAAACATCAAATTCTCACTGAAGCGGCTGCGGCTTGCCTGCAATGCTGCCCTTCAATGCTGACCTTCAACCCGCTATGCCACCAGGGAGGGCCAGAAAACATTTCTGTACCAGAAAAAAAACAAGGGCTCATGTGCCAAAAGATCCTCAAGCCAATAAATACTTAGTGTTTGGCTTCTATGCTAATATTCAAGTGCTCCACCCACAAAACCCACCCACATGGTCTAGCTGGAGGCAATTCTAATGTGAAAATTAAGTCATAAAGTGATTTATATTTTAATAGGAAGTGCTTATCATAAGGTGATTGGATTGTA